GAAAATCTTTTAGATAACTGGCAATAAACTGCCTTGAGACTCAACAGCAAGAGCCTGAGCAGTTTTTCTTTGGACGCACGGGCTGGAGGAGAGACTTTACCACCACACGAGACCCCAAACCAAACCTGGGGTTCTCACACCAGAGCACACAGCCCCGACACACAGACCCTGCACAGCTCCTGCGGGGATGTCCCCGGTGTCCCCAAACCCTGCCCCTGCTGCCCAGCACAGCTCAGCTCAGCTCCTCACACAGCCACAGCAGGCTCCCCCAGACCAGCCCGTCACCCCCACTGAATCCCAGCTGCTCCCGTGGAACCAACCCAGCCCAGGAGCCCCCGTGTGCCCGCCGTGCCCTGCAGGGTCCCGGAGCAGTGGGACACCCCCAGCAGCTCTCACCATGTTCCTCAGCAGCTCCGAGGCCTCCCTGGGGCTGCCCTTCAGCAGGCGGGCGTAGACCAGGCTCAGACCCGTCTGGATCAGCTCCTGCAGGCTCTCGGCAGGATGCTGCTGCCTCCGGAAGAACATCTGGGCCTCTGGGATTTTGTTGCTGAGGATGGCATCAGCAATGACTTCCTGAAGGGAGAAACAGGGAACAAACTGCCCTGGATCATCCCTAGGTTGATTTTCTTCCCCAGTACTTTAAGCTATCTCCACATAAGTGATCTCCTTATATAAACTTCAGCACAGTAATAAAAACTGGTCATTCACTGTCACCTCTGGTGTCAGTTTTTCCCACTCTTTGCTCTCTTCTATCTCAGGCAGGTCTTCATCCAGCTCAGCTCCCGTGTGCCCTGGGGCCATCACTGGGTGAGGGTATTTCCTCAGGAATTTCCTCAGTTTAATGATGTAATCAGTTAAAATATCTGCAGCCTTCTGCAGGAACTCATCAGGTTCTGCCAAAAGCATCCAAGAGATCGGTTAAATGGGCATGAACAGACAGGATTTTAATGTTTAGCAGTGCTGAATTAATAAATGTGCTGATGAATAAACAGACACCCCTCAGAGGGAAGAGCACATCAGCTCTGTCCCCTGTGCAGGCAGTGACAGCCCAGCACTCCCAGCACCCTGTCAGGACACAGCCACAGCCCCACAGAGCTCCCTGCCCTCACTGAGGGGTTTTCCTGCCCAGGGACAGTAAAGGAGAACTGAAATGTTGTATTAATCACACCAATTATTAGTCAGGTAAGTCCAATCTAAAACACAGGGATGAACATCTTTCACTCACTTAATTCTAGTATTTTTATGTTAATCCCAGGCAAATTTAAGCTCCTAATTAAAAGAATTAGCAGTTGTTACTTAAATGATCAGAGATTACTCAATATGACCCAGCAGGGGTGATCTTACCCTCTGTGTGCACAAAGATTTCCTCCAGCTGCTTGGTGAGGAAAGTCAGGGTGAGGTTCAGGAGCTGCTCAGAGAAGTGTTTGCTGTGAGGCTCCAGATCATTGTCCCGGATTGCTGAGCAGAGCAAGTTTAGAGCTGGCCTGAGCTCCTCCAAATCTGCAAAGGTCCCAGAAACAGTTCACACCTCTGCATCCTGCACTCAGCCACGGGGAGAGAGGGCTGCAAAAGCCTCTGAGCAGCTGCAGGTTCCTCACTTACTTGTCAGGTAGGACTGGGAGGCAGCACCCCCAGGCTGCTCAGGCCCAGGGCAGGCTGCAGACAGACTGAGAACACTTTCTTTGCTTTTCAAAAACAAGTCCACCGTGTCCAGCTGGCGATTCTCCAAACCTGCCTAGGTAAATGTGAAATGGAACAATCAAACCTGGATTTACACCCATACACTGCGCCCTTCCTGCTGGATTCTTCCTCCATTCCCAGTGACAGAGCACACACACAGAAAAGCAGGGGGGGTGGAAACTCTGTGTGCAGCTGGAGTGACAAGGGGACCTGCACAGAGCCTGCCAGGCCCCTCTGCCAGGCTCTGCTCCAGCCCTGCCCCGGATCTTCACTCACTAAATGTCATTGCAGCAACATGCAGCAAACCCTGAGAATCAGGACTCTCAACAACCCCACAGCAATTTTATAAGAACAGCACAATAAACACTGAAATCTAGTTCCAAACATTTCTTTTCACATTTAACATTTTGCAAGGGCAAAAATTGCTACAGAAACTGATGAAATTGCTTTTGGGCCCAATTAAGATGGAATTTTGAGCACTGCTTTGCTCTCTTTTATTAATGTGCATTCACTTTGCTGCTGTATTTCTTCCTTTGGGTTACTCATCTGCTTGGGGTTTTACTGTTTATTTAAGAACTAAACCACCTCTTTTTGCCCCTAGGCCTGAGGCACTTTTAATTGTGTCTAAACCCACACTGGCATTGCTAAACTGCATTCAATACTTGAAATAGAGAGTTTGCTATTTGCAAGACATGAGGCAGCCTTCCTCACCTCGAGGGCGTGGATGGGGATGGAGCACCTCTCCCAGCCATTGAGGTGACACACGGAATCCACCACCCCGGCGCTGCCAAACGTCAGCAGCCTGCTCAGGAACTCCTCCCGAGTCACCCCAAACAGCACCAGGGACAGACCACGCTCTGAAGGACACAACCAAGCCACCACTAAAGCCAGAGCAGCCACTTTTTGGGCAGCAGCGTTTCTACCCACCGCTGCTTCCAGAAGAGCCAGGCAAAGGTAGTTACCCAACAGCAGCCAGGTAAAACACCAAAAACCCCTGCAGCAGCTGTCTCAGGACAGCCTGTGAGCCCTCACCTGTCAGCAGCAGACACAGTGGCACCTCTGCACTGCACTCCACATAGACACTGCTCCTGCCAAAGTGGGAACACGTCACGTCCTGGGACTCAAAATCCCAGAGCGCCAGGGACAGCCCCGTGTCCTGTGCCTGCAGCACAAACACGGCCTTGGCTCCAGTCACCAGCTTGCACTCCAGTTTCACCATTTCCTGGCCTGCTCCCACGGGGATCTGTGCCCACTGCTGTGCTGCTGCCCCCGGGGCTGCAGCCTGCCTTTGGAGCGCTGGGGAAGCTGCCCGGGTGACAGCCCGGGGGACAAAGGCCACCATCCTCTCTGGATCCTCACAAACTTCAGGATCGTGATCTTCCAGATGGGTAAAAAACTGATACCAGGGCAAATTCAAGTCGGTCACCAAATCTGGAGAGCCTTGTGTTCTTCTTCTCCTCACCCTGTCCCACAGAGAGGAGAGGTGTGCCTTCCAGGACCTGCTGAGGGGACAGTCACCTGTAACAGCTGGCATTACTCCGAGAACAAGGCAGCTAAAGCTTTCTCAGTTCAATAAAATGCACTTAGAGCTGATAAAATCCACCCAGCACACTGCATTTCAACCTTACCATGGCCTCTTTATTTGCATCTAAATACTCCCTGCAGCCAAGCTGAGTGACCACAGCTGGATCAGCTGACAACGTCCATGTTCAGCATTTTTAATGAAAAGTTTTCTTTTCCTCACAGAAAGTGCCAAGTAAAAAATAGTAGAACACAGAGATTTAGATAATTATATATAAATTATAGTTATAGATAGTTATATACAAATGCTCTATTATTTTTGATTGATAACAAAGTTATCAATTAAAAAACCGTAGACTGGAACTAACTCCAGAACTGAACCTTTCTCATCTATACATCAAGTTATAACTAACATGCTTTATTAGTATCAATACTCTGAGACTCAGAGGCAACCCCTAAGCAGCAATTCCTCTTTGGAAGCTGTCCAATGCCATACCTAAAGCTGTCCTGGTCCACCCCAAATTCAAAACATTTACAGCAGAATGGCTGATTTTACCTGTCACAGCTACAACTGAAAGAACAAATCAGCAGTTTATTGTCAGTGATCCAGAGGAGGCAAAGGCCAGCCTGTGTCAGCAGCTCCCTCCCTCCTGTACCTGTCTGTGCGGAAGGGCAGCGACAGCAGCTCCATGCTGTGCTCAGAACTGGCCAGGTCATCCTCGTCCAGCCCCTCTGCAGGCTTCACTGGAAGATTTTCAGGATCTCTCTTACAGAGCAAATGTTCAGGGAACTGTCTGTAAAGAAATAAATATGAAATTCCACCTTGCTCAGATGATTTAAGATGTTTTCTTCATGTTTAAGTCTTCCAGGAGCTCTGGGTGCAGTTTTCTCTCAGGGTAGCAGGTGAGCCATCAAAACCTGATGCTCCTTCCTTTGAGGTGGACACCACCTCTTAATTACCACCTGGCCCTAATTTATCAAGCTAAATCAGCACAGCTGTACCAGTACTGTTTGATAATTCCATACCCCACAGTACTTCTAAAAGGTGCTACCCTGGCACGGAGAGCACCTCATCTCCCTGGCAAAAACTGAAGGGCAAGGCAAGGTCTATCTGCTTGTTAATAGACAGATTTAAATGAAGAGGTGTTGCAGATAACAGTTTCCTTTGTGAAAGTGGCAGAGAATAAATCAGAGCAAGAATGCAATCTTTACACAAAGAGGGAATTTCTGCTCTAGCACAGAAGTCAGAGTGAAAAGCTGCCAGCACCCTGGGAGTGCTGGCCCAAGCCTGGGCAGCCCAAAGCGTCCCCTGGGAGCTGTACCTGAAGTAGGTGTTGAGCTGCACAGCCAGGGCACGCTGGCAGCTGTCGGTCACCACGGCCGTGCTGAGGTCAGGGGACACTGCCAGGGCAGCCAGGGGGGACACGGGGGCTGGGCCCTGCCCCTGCCCAGCACCCAGGGCCACGCCGACCTTCCCCAGGGTGGCACCGTCAGAGCAGTCAAATATGTCTGCAAAGAGCATCAAGGAAAAGCCCAGGCCTGGAGTGAGCAGCACAGCAGTTACACGTTGCCCTGATTTTTAAAAGTGTTTTCTTTTATAGTTCTTTTGAAAGTTTTAAAGTTCTTTTAAAAGTTTGCTATGCCTTCTGATGTTTACATATTTCTACTGGAGTTCTCACACACTGTTGATGTAAATAATGATTGTTTTGCATTCTTCTGTGTGGGAGGAGAGAATTGATGGGCTGTTGGTTTGGCCAGTGTGGTTGGAGAGGTGGCAATTCCATCCTCCAATCCACTGTCACTTTTGGAATTCTATATGTTGTGAGGTCAGAAATAAAATTGGCTCTTTTTCTCTTTTGAACTTACCAAGCTTGTGTGTACTCATTTTGTGTCCAATAGCGACAGTTACACACCAGGGGAAGGTGCTGAAATTTGGCTCCAGGAGGAGGGAAAGGCAGCCTTTAAAAAGCACATTAAAGTACATTTATTGTGCTTTCATGTGCCAGAGGAGATCAGCAGCAACAGGTTAAAGGCAGCAGCTGGTGGAGCTGCCAGGCCTGAGCCCCTGCTCATCCCAACACAAAGCTGCCTCCCAAGCTCCCTGTGTGCCTGCAGATCATTTCTGTTTTAATTAAGCCATGAGCTGGCAGCAGGAGCCAGCCTGTTACACACAGAGCCATGAATCAAACCCCTCAAGGAAAGCCATAAATGCAGACCTGCAGCGGGGTGCTGGGAAACCCTGCACACACAACTTGCCTACAATAACCAGGATTTGGCTGCACAACCTTCCCTGCAGGCACCACTGAAATGTCTGTAAAGAAATTTCTGCTCAGCCCTGGGAGCAGAGAAAAGCAACTTTGCTCTTCCAGATGATCTGTCCCAAACTCTCCTGCAAGGATACAAATCCAGCCAGCAGGGTCCAGCAGGAACAGGATCCCCCTGCAGAACTGGGAGTCTGTTATTCTCCCCACAGCTCCTGCAGGCACAGCCAGGGGGAAGCAGCCACACGTCTCTGGGGGCGAGTCCTCCCCAGGAAAGGTCAGGTGCACGAGGATAAACTGGTTGAGCAGAAGTTTGCACTTGTTGTTTCCAAACGACAGAATCTTCACAGAGAAAATTGAAGGCAGACCTGTAAATTTAAAGATACTTAAATTTTGGATTACAGCCAGCTGGGGCTTTTGATTTGTGAAGGAATCCCAAGAAAATGACAGTTCAAATTCATTGCCCCAGTTACCATCCTAACAGAAGCTGGGATTGTGAGTTGGGGTGGCTGGTTTTCAATCTCACTTTCTGTACCAGGGGCATTGACTCTAGAACAATTTCCCAAACTTTTTATGTGGCTTTTTCAGTGGACAAAACTATGAAGAACATTTTAAAAAATCAGCACAAAATAGGATTTCAGTCAGCACTGAGAAGAAAAGCTATAAACTTCAGAAATAAAATATTTTAGGAAAAGAAAATATTTTACAAACATGTAAAACACCAAAGGGTCATTTTAACTGCACACCCTGTTTGCTAATCATAAAATACAAGGTTAAATGTTTAATTAGTCTTCGCAAGGTTATTGATAAGCCCTGTCTCCCTTTTCTTCCCATCAGTCCCAATATTAAAGTCAAAATTTGAGACAGAAGGGTTGCATATATCTTATTAGAATTAATTTTTAACTTTGTATCACTCAAACATGACCCTACAAGAGTTTAATTCTAACAATGTCCCCTTTGACCACAGAAATGTCCCCATTATTTTTGAAGCCCATGAATGCTGCTGATCCATTGGAGCAGTGTGGGGGTAGCTGTAATTCCCTAGTGCTGCATCCCACCCGGAGCAGCAGAAGCAGACCTGCAGTATTTCACACACAGATTTACTCACTAATGCTTTTAGCTTCAAGGAGCTTTGTCAGCGTCTGTGCCTTGCAACTGTGCAGGGGATTCGGGTTGTGTTTTCCATCTTCTACACTGAATTCGTAGACAAACAGGTCATGGCTTTGAGCAAGAGCCAGGAGTTTTATCTTGTGGGATTGCAAACCATCCTCTTCGGAGCTGTCCCACACGAAGCTGAAGATGAAACGTTCAGGGAGGTTATTTATTCCCTCTCCCCATCTCCCACGCTGAGCACTCTGGGTGTGCACTGATGGGGGACAACACCTTCCCTCCAGCAGAAACCCCTGCCCTGGCCCTCCCAGCACTGAGCTGCTTCACCCCGGGCAGGACAGAGCCTGAGGAACCGCAGCTCCTCCTCCTCTTCCTCCTCCTCTCCAGGACAAAGGCTTCCATCCTCTGCGTTTTCCCTTTGGGCACCCAGGACAGCAGGGATGCCCTGCTCCAGGAGAGCACCAGCCCTGCCAGCAAGGAGAGCAGAGCGTTCTCCATTTCCAGCCTCCTCCCTGCTTTTTGGGCCCAGAACCTCTCCAGGTGTGTCACACCTGCCGGGGAGGGGACAGAGAGCACCAGCTGAGCACGGGGAGGGCAAAGCAGAGAGCAGAGCCCTGGCACAGCTCTGAAACACTGCCCAGCCCGGAATGCCCCGGGCCAGGCTGGGCACTGGGGCTGGAGCAGCTGGGACATGGCAGTGTCCCTGCCACGGCTGGGTGGCACTGGGGGGTCCGAGGTCCCTCCGAAGCAGAAGCACCTGGGGTGAGTCTGAGCAGCGCTGCCGGACCCTGCAGCTGCTCACTCACACCTGGCGAGGTTTGGGCTCGGCACGGGAGCTGCCAGAGCAGAGGGCAGAGCCACCCCGTGCCAAAGCCACCCCGTGCCAAAGCCACCACGTGCCAAAGCCACCGTGTGACCGGCCAGTGCCACCCCGGGCTGGCCCCGGGCACGGCTCAGGGCTCTGCGGTGTGAAGCCAACATGCCAAGAGACAAACCTTCCTTGTTTGCTCTGGCATCTGCTGCCGTGAGCACCCCCAGCCGGACAGACAGACAGACAGGGCACAGCCGGACAGACAGACAGGGCACAGCCAGACAGACAGACAGGAACCAGACAGGGCACAGCCGGACAGACAGACAGGGCACAGCCGGACAGACAGACAGGAACCAGACAGACAGGGCAGAGCGGGACAGACAGACAGGACCCAGACAGACAGACAGACAGAGCACAGCCGGACAGACAGACAGGGCACAACTGGACAGACAGATAGAACCCAGCCAGACAGACAGACAAGGCACAGACAGACAGACAGAGAGAACCCAGTCGGACAGACAGACAGGGCACAGACAGACAGACAGACAGGGCACAGCTGGACAGACAGATAGAACCCAGCCGGACAGACAGACAGACAGGGCACAACTGGACAGACAGATAGAACCCAGCCGGACAGACAGACAGGGCACAGCTGGACAGACAGACAGGGCACAGCCGGCCAGACAGACAGGGCACAGCTGGACAGACAGACACACAGATGTGACCCAGCCGGCCAGACAGACAGGGCACAGCCGGACAGACAGACAGATGTGACGCAGCCGGACAGACAGACAGGAGCCAGCCAGCCAGACAGGAGCCAGCTAGACAGACAGACAGATGTGACGCAGCCGGACAGACAGACCTCCCCAGCCCCGCCCGGCTCCGGCACGCTCCCGCCGCGGGGCCCGGCCCGTGCCGCACTCACTCGGCCCAGGCTCCCGGCAGGACGCTGCCCGCGGCCCGCCCGGGCCCGCCGGGCCCCAGCGCCTCCAGGCGGATCCCGCCGCCGCGCAGCACGGTGCCCAGGGCGTGCCGGGCCCTGCTCAGCCGCGCCCGCAACGCCTCCCGCGCCTGCCCCGAGCCGGGCGCCAGCAGCACCCGCAGCTCGGCCCGGGCCGCCGCCATCCTCCGGGCCCCGCAGCCTCCGGGCCGCGCTCAGCGCCGCCCGCCCCGCGCCGCCGCCACCGCGCCGGGCCGGCCCCGTTCCGGTCAGCCGGGCGCCGCCGGGCCGCGACTACAACTCCCAGCGCGCACCGCGGCGCCGCAAGGCGCGCCGGGAGCTGTAGTCCCCGCCGCACGCCGCTTCGGCGGGGCTTTCCTGAAGTGGGATGCTCTGCGTCTTTTCTCTGATCCCTGCTGCGGGTGGATCCCCGTGGCGTTTCTGTGTCCTCGCTCTGGGGCGGGGACTGTACCGGGGTACCTCCGTGTCCCCCGGCTGTCCCGGGGTCTTCTCTGTGTCCCCACCCTGGACCCGAGGCTGTACCGGGGTACCTCCGTGTCCCCCGGTTGTCTCGGGGTCTTCTCTGTGTCCGAGGGCTATCCCGGGGGTCCCTCCATGTCCCCGTGCCCCTCCATGTCCCTCCATGTCCCTGGGGTCCCTACGTGTCCCCTCTCCGTGTCCCTGTGTTCCTCCATGTCCCGGTGTCCATCCATGTCCCGGTGTCCCCCCAAGTCCCTCCGTGTCCCGGGATCTCTCCGT